ATCATCATCATAATCATCATCATCATAATCATCATCATCATCATCATCATCATCATCATCATCATCATCATCATCATCATCATCATCATCATCATCATAATCATCATCATCATCATCATCATCATCATCATCATCATCATCATCATCATCATCATCATCATCATCATCATCATCATCATCATCATCATCATCATCATCATCATCATCATTTTCATCATCATCATCATCATCCTCTGCTCCTCCTCCTCCTCCTCCTCCTCCTCCACGTCCTCCTCCTCCTCCGCCTCCTTTAGGCAGGCCGCAGGCGCGCGAACCGTGAAGCGTCAGTCCTGATACTCCTCCTCCTCCTCCTCCTGCTCCTCCTCCTCCTCCTCCTCCTCCTCTTCCTCCTCCCCCTCATCCTGCTGCTGCTGCTGCCGCTTCTTCTCCTGCTGCTGTCGTCTGCTTCATCCTGCTCTCGCTGCTGCTCTTTCGTTTTCTTTGCCAAGCCACTGGGCGCGCATATACCTGGCGTCAAAGCTGCACCTCCTCCCCCTCCTCCTCCTCCTTCTCCTCCTCCTCTTCCTCCTCCTCCTCCCTCCTCCTCCTCCTCCTCGTCCTCATGCTCCTCCTCCTCCTCCTCCTCCTCCTGACACGAGGGACTGGGGCAGCCCGAGGGAGAAGAGGAGGGACATGGAGGCTGGGAGGGAGCACGGAAAAGCAGCCCCCCCCGACCTCCGACGATTCGAGATGTCCGAGCCTCGGCCCCACGTACCAGACCTCGAGACCACTTCCCTAGGACTGGCCGCCCATCCTAAGCCGTCTTCTCGCGGTCCCGGAGCCCGAGAACGGCCCCTCGGGCGTGGGAAAGTGGGAAGAATCTCAGATTCGAAACTTTCGACTCTCTGGAGGCCTGGGTTCCTCCTCATCCTCCTCCTCCTCCCCCTCACCCTCCTCCTCCTCCTCCTCCTCCTCACCCTCCTCCTCCTCCTCCTCCTCCTCCTCCTCCTCCTCCTCCTCCTCCTCCTCCTCCTCCTCCTCCTCCTCCTCCTCCTCCTCCTCCTCCTCCTCCTCCTCCTCGTCACCCTCCTCCTCCTGCAGCTGCCAGGGGTCGCGACGTGGGCGGGGCTGGAAAGGCCATCGTCATCAACAGAGCGCGGCAATCCGAACACGAAGGCGCTCAGAGAAAGCAATTGTTTGGCCGCAGAAGCATCTAAGTGCACGAGGAACAGCAATGGAGGGATCCAAGGAACAGGGAGCCCCAACCGACCCTGAAGTGTTCCTTATTTCAGCGGTTTGCCTGCATTCGGCGATTCGCCTCTGGCCGCGCCAGACAACAGGAAAACCTGGAAGCCTTGGAGCGCATCATCATCATCACTACTATTCGCCACTTGCCGCTCCTCTGGCCTGCTTCCCCTCGCTCATCCTCCCTCTTCCTTCTCCCTCCCGCCTGCTGCCAGGGGGGGGGAGTGGCGCTCCAAGGGCGAGGCAGGGTGGGCTGTGGCCTGGCCCAGTATCGGGGACTCGTTCACCCAACGACTGCGAGGCCACAAAAAAGCTTCCTGGACGCCTCCAGAGGCCCGAAAAGCACGGTGGCGGGGTGGGCCGCAGACCACTGGATCCGCCGCCCCCTGTCGATTCATCGCAGGGGTGCCTGGCGTGCTGAATCCTTTCGGTTCTGGTTTTAGTTCTTTTCCAAGAGAACTCCCCCTGGGGCTTCGGCGCGTCCCGCCGGCCACCCGAAAGGATTGCCCAGCCGAGGGTTTTCCGAGGGTTTTCCTGCCCCAGATGGCTCCAAGATGGCCTCCAAGATGCTTCCAAGACGGCCAAGATGGCCTCCAAGACGGCTAAGATGGCCCCAAGATGCCTCCAGGGCGGCCTAAGATGCACCCAAGACGGCCTAAGATAGCCTCAAGATGCCTTCAAGTTCGTCCAAGAAGCCCCCAAGACGGCCCAAGATGGCTCCGAGAGGTCCTCCAGAAGGGCCCGAAGAGACCAAAATCATTAATGTTCCTTAGGTGTTTGACGGATTTGGGAATTGGACTCTTCTCGGTATTCCGACGGCCCGAGACGGCCCAAGAGGCCCCCAAAGATCGCCCAAAGATCGCCCAAGAGTCCTCCAAAAGATGGCTTCAGCACGGCCCAAGAGGCCCCCAAGACGGCCCCAAGAGGCCCCCAAGACGGCCCAGTAGGCCTTTAAGACGCCCAAGATGGCCTCCAAGAGGGCCCTGGAGCATTACAAGATGGCCCCAAGTCGGCCCAGAGAGGCCCCCCAAACGGTTTCCGACAGCGTCAGACCGGCCAGGAGCCTACCAAGATGGCCGAAGTTGGCTCGAAGCTGGCCCAAGACGGCCCAAGAGGCCTCCAAGAGGGCCTCCAGGAAGGCCAGAAAAGGCCAAAAACACCGTTGCTCCTTAGGTGTTTGAAGGAGTTTGGCATGTGCCTCGTCTCGGTATTCCGACGGCTCAAGACGGCCCAAGAGGCCGCCAAGATCGCCCCAAGATCGCCCACGAGGTCTCCAAGAGGGCCCCATGACGGCCCAAGAGGCTCCCAAGACGGCCCCCAGAGGGCCCCAAGACGGGCCAAGAGGCTTCCAAGACGACCAAGATCGCCTCCAAGACGGCCCCGAAGCGCTCCAAGTCGGCCCAGAGAGGCCCCCCAAACGGTTTCCGACGGCGTCAGACGGGCCAGGAGCCCACCAAGATGGCCGAAGTTGGCTCGAAGCTGGCCCAAGACGGCCCAAGAGGCCTCCAAGAGGGCCTCCAGGAAGGCCAGAAAAGACCAAAAGCATTGATTTCCCGCAAGTGTTTGAAGGATTGTGGCATTTGCTTCTTTTTTCTGCATTCCGACGGCCCGAGACGGCCGAGGTGCCCCCCAAGATCGCCGAAGAGGCCCCAGACGGCCCCAAGAGGCCCCCAAGACTGCCCAAGAGGCCTCCAAGACGCTCAAGATGGCCTCCAAGACGGCCCAAGGGCCCTCCAAGACGTCCTCCAAGAAGGCCCGAAAGGGTCTAAATGGCCTCCAGACGGCCAAGATGACCTTCAAGATGCCCACGTGTTCCCCGAAGGCTTTTCAAACCGATTCGGGGAACACATGGTCCGATAGCCTGGCAGGACATAGGCGCTTCCAAAAAGGCAGGGGGCGGCGGTGATTCGCCGTAGGCGTCTTCGATAGTTCTCGGTGCACGCGCGAGCAGGAACTTGTGGATAAACAACACACGACTGACGGAGACGAAGGGGAGGTCCGACCTGCGCCGTTCCACTGAGGCGGCGAAGCAGAGGAGAGCAAGGTCCTTCCGGTCGTGATCAAGGCGTGCGCGCACGGATTGCGTCCAGTCTCGCCTCGGAAGCCCAGAATGGCGGAAAACTGTGTGCATGATGAGCAAGAATCATGTTTGTCCATCCTTCTCGTGCACGCTCACTGCCCGGGCCGCCCACCTGCTCATCCGCAATCGCAGATCGATCGCGACGTTTGAACAATCGCGCCACAGCGGGGAGCAGAATCGAATCGGTCGATGACGCGCGCAGTCAGCGGTTCTGGCTCGGATAATCGCAACGGTCGGGTCGTGACTATCGTCACCGACTCAATGCAGCCATCGGGAGGCTTGGTGAAGTGCCGCCTCTGATCGACCACTTATCCCAGATCCTGGCCCCTTGCCCAAGAGCTAATGGTCCACACGTCCGCCTTACTTCTCGGCCTTCGCTGCGCACCGCGTCAGGTTTCCACCGCCAAAGACCTCGAAAGCAAACTTGGCGATTGTAACTTGTTGGTGGCGGTGCATATCATGTGCATACGTATGCCTGTATATAGTTATGCCTCTCTCTATATGTCTCTGTCTCTCTCATCGTATCTCTCTCTCTCTCTCTCTTTCTTTGTTGTCTTTCTCGTTCTCTCTTCCTCTCCCGCTGTCCGTCTCTCTCTTTCTGTTGATGTATGTATCGTTCTCTATATGTCGGTATTGCTGTCTCTCTTTCACTCTCTCTCTCTCTCTCTCTCTCTTTCTCTCTCTCTCTCTCTGTCTCTCTCTCTCTCTTGTGTTGTATCTCTCTCATTCGTTATATATATATATATATATATATATATGTGGGCTTCCTCTCTCTCCCTCTCGCTATCACTATTTGTTTTCTCTCTCTCTCTCTCTCTCTCTCTCTCTCTTCTCTCTCTCTATAAATACATGTAAAAATATCAGAAAATGTTAGCGAACGTGGAAAACATATGTGGAGCAACCTGTGGTGCAATCGACGTGGTGCAACCTATGTGGTGCAAACGATCTGGTGCAAAATACGTGGCGCAATCCATGTGGTGACATTGATTTGTACCTATGAGTTGACACATCCCATGCTCTTGCAAACATCCCACCAGCCCACCCGCAACCTGGTTTGCAAAACCCATGCGGTGGCGATTGCGATGCATGCTTGGCGTTGGCTGGTGCATCTCTGCGGCCGCGCCAACCCTAGCACGCGCGCGCAACAGCCAGCCAGTTTGGCGCTACCGACGTGGCCGCGGCGGCGCTAACCGCTGGGCGCATCCCAGCGGGCACTTCACTGCGAGTCGGCGACTTGGGCGGGCGCGGCGGGTGCGGTATCATGGCAACGCCGACGACGGTAGACGCGATGGTGATACTAGCGATGCCGGTGACGATGTTCACACCGACGAAGGCGCGGCCAGCGCGGGCGCCGATGCTGATCACGCCAACGACGATAACGGCGTCCTTGCGTCGGCGATAAGCGTTTTGGAAACAGTTCGACATTCGCGCGCGGCTGACGCGCGAGAGTGGACCGCATGGCTTGAATTGACTCGGATCGCGCCCCCACCCCCCCAGCGCGCGCGCAAAGGGCGTGCGATTGATGCCAACATGCGGCGCCAGAGGCCCGTTTTTTGCAGAATCCCATGAAGATGTTGAAAGCCATACGGTTTTCTTAAGAATTCGCAAAAGCGCGTGCGCAAACTCTTTTAAGAAAACTGATGTTGCAAAACCTTGTGTGTTTGATTTTCTGGGGCATCCAATTTAAAACATCGTTACGACACCTGTTTTTTCTCAAAGGTTCCGGCATGCGCGCGCGACGACGCGCGCGTGCACTTCGCCCCGCTTTTCTGAAAAAAAACGATTCTCACGACGGCGCGCGCGCAAGGGCGCCCGAACGATTTCGACATGCGCGCGCACAGCCCGTTTGGTAGCAATTTCTGAACATGTTGGAAAACTGTTTGTTTTAGGATTTCGCAAGAATGCGCGCGCGTTTATTGTTGTTGTTGAGAACCCGCGTTGCGAGACCATTTGGTTATACACACATGTGTGTGTGTATATATATATATATATGTCGGACGCGGGAAGGTGAGATCAAAGTGGAACGGAAAGCACCCCTACCTGTAAATCGGTTTCGCTTTCGTGTTCGTGCGTGCCGTGCGTGCGGGTGAAGCGAAGCTGCGTGGGCGGGCGAGAAGAAAATCTCCTGTGGCTGAGCCGCGGCCGGACCAAAAGTCTCCCTTCCGGCAACCGGTGCCGCGCGGTGTCCCGCCGGTGCCCCGCTGTGGCTGAGGCGCGGCCAGACCAAAAGTCTCCCTTCGGGCGTCCGGTGCCGCGCGGTGTCCTGCCACTGTCCCGCCGGTGTCCCGTCGGTGTCCCGATGATGATGATGAAGATGATGATGATAATGATGATGATGAGAATGATGATGATGATGATGATGAGGATGTCGATGATGTTGGTGATGCTGATAATGGTGATGTGATGAAGATGGTGTCCCGGTGATGGTGATGATGATGGTGGTGATAATGATGGTGCCCCGATGATGACGGTATTGACGATGATGATGATGAAGATGTTGCTGATGATGATGGTGTCCCGATGATGACGACGCTGATGGTCCTGATGATTGTTTGTGATGGTGACACGATGATGAGATGATGATGATGAAAATGATGATGATAATGGTGTCCTGGTGATGATGAGGTTGATGATGAGATGCTGTTGATGATGATGGTGTCCCGGTGATGATGATGTTGATGCTGGTGATGATGATGACGATTATGGTGGCCCGATGATGGTGTTGATGATGAGGATGATGATGAGGTGATGATGATGATTTTGGCGATGGCGGCCCAATCATGATGATGATGATGCTGATATTGATGATGATGATGATCATGATGTCCTGGTGATGATGAAGACGATGATGATGATGGTTACGATGATGGTGATGTCCCGATGATGATGGCGACGTTGATGATGATGTGGCTGATGGTGATGATGGCTTCCCGATGATGATGCTGCTGATGTTGATGGTGTTGTTCATGGTGCTGATGCGATGCTGGTGATGGTGGTGTTCCGATGGTGATGATGGCGTCCCGATGGTGATGGTGTTGCTGGCGGTGGTGACGATGATGGTGTCCCGATGATGATGATGGTGGTGATGATAATGATGTTGCTGGTGATGGTGATGATGTTATGATGATGGTGTCCCGATGATGATGATGATGTTGATGACGTTGATGACAATTATGTTGATGATGATGATGACGTTGATTGTGAGATTGATTGTGATATCGAAAGTGAGATCGATAGCGAGACCGAATGTGAGATCGATTGCGAGATCGATAGTGAGATCAATTGCGAGATCGATAGTCAGATCGATTATGAGATCGATCGAATGAAACAGATCGAGTGAGACCGATTGTGATATGGATCAAGTGAGATCGATCGGGCGAGACCGATCGTGAGATCGATAGTGAGAGCGATAGCGCGACCGGTCGAGTGAGACGTCGGTTCCTCCCCCCCCCCGAACCTCCTTATCCCCCGACGGGTGGTCGTATAGGTATACGCACACACACACACACCTATATATATATATATATATGTGTGGGCGTGTGTGTATGTGTGTTTGGACACTCGGTTTGGAAACCCTGCCAAAACCGAAGGTTTTGGAAGGATTTCGGCATGCGCGCGCGACGGCGCGAGCGCGCGCGTGCACTTCGTCATATGTTTTGCCAGGGGGTCTTGGGAATTTATGATTTCTCTGATAAGCGAGTGCGCGCGCAGAGAGGCTTTTGCAGAGGATGGCGCAAGGGGTCGATACTGGCTCGGCTGGGATGACACGAATTCAAATTTTGGATGGGCGATGGGGCAGAATCAGACGTAAGTTCCACTGCGAAGAAGTGGACCGGTAAACCCGGGGGGGGGGGGGGGGGTAGAGCCCACTCTTTTAAAAGCGGAGGACTAATTTCAACAAACGAGTCGGCACATCCCATGCTCTTGCAAACATCCCACCAACCCACCCTCAACCTGGTTTGCAAGACCAATGCGGTGGCGATTGCGATGCGTGCTTGGCGTTGGCTGGCGCATCTCCGCGGTCGCGCCAAGCCTAGCACGCGCGCGCGGCGGCCAGCCAATTTGGCGCCGCCGACGCGGCCGCGGCGGCGCTGACTGCTGGGCGCGCCCCAGCGGGCACTTAACTGCGAGTCGGCGACTTGAGCGGGCGCGGCACCGTGGAAATGTCGACAGCGGTAGACGCGACGATGGGCCAGCGCGGGCGCCGATGCTGCGCGCATCGACGACGACGACGACGGCGCCCTCGCATCGGCAATGGAGACTTTGGAAACGGTTCGACACGCGCGCGCGGCTGACGCGCGAGAGTGGCCTGCATGGCTTTATTCGACACGGGTCGCGCCCCCCCCCCACCCCCGCCACGTTCGCAAGGGCGCGCGAATGATGTCAGCTAGCGGCGCCAGGCCAGTCTGGCAGAACTCCGTGACAACGCTGGGAAAGCTATGGTTCTCCTGAGAATTCGCAAGAGCGCGCGCCCAAGCATTTTTTGAAAACTAGCGTTGCGAAACCATGTGTTTTTGAATGTGATTTGGACAGCCGATTTTGAAACCCGCGCGACACCGAAAATGTTTGCAAGATTTCGGCACGCGCGCGCGGCGACGCGCGCGCGCACTTCGTCTCGTTTTTTTTGTGCAAAGGGCATTCGCGACGGCACGCCCGCGGAAACATTCGAACGATTTCGACGCGCGCGCGAGAAGCCCGCTTCGTAGCCGGTTCGAAAAAAGTTCTTAACATTGTTTATCTCACGAATTTGCAAGAACGCGCGCGCGTTCTTTGTTGTAAACCCGCGCTGCCCAAAAAACACACATGGTTAAATATGTTGTTTGGGCACTCGGTCTTGAAATCATTCCGAAACCGAAGGTTTTCGAAGGGTTCCGGCATGCGCGCGCGGCGACGCGCGCGCGTGCACTTCGTCACATCCGTTCCAAGGGGTTCTCGAAAACTGGTGATGTTTGATACGCAAGCGCGCGTAACATTGTTTGCAAACGATGGCGGGGGGGGGGGGGGCGAACCCGACAG